CATAAATATTGCTACTCTCTTTAATATCTACCTAATAAGAAATAAAAATAAAATTGTATTTTATTGCAATATTAAATACAACTTTATTTATTCGATTTATTTATTGCCTGTAATTAATTAATTAATTACTTAATTAATTAATTAATTAATTAACTGTACATAAATAAACTGTAATATAATTATAATTTATTGAGTAGTTGTATTAAAATACATTAGAAACTAGGAATTTAACACGCTCGCAGAGTGAGCTTTCTTAACTTGTTTTGTTTTTGTTATAAGCCGTTATTCATTTAATATGTAATTTAAACACGTTTCTATGTTATTTAATATTTAGGATCTATACTAAAAATATAAAAAACAAATATTCATAAAATGTATGACACATAGGTAACATTTGTATTGTGTAGACAGTAATCACTACACTATACTAATCAGTAATCAGTTACCAACTCGAAACACATAACGATACGCAGTAGGTACGCACGACGAGTTCGATATACCAACACCGGAATACAACGACACGTCCTACTGATTATAAAAATAATAATATTACGTTGTCGTTATGTACTTGTGTCTCATAGACTAAACACCATACAGATGTATCCCAAACTATTACTCACTACTGAATTGTTAAATATTAATATTAACAGTGATTATAAATACTATAGTAGATATTTATAGTAATTTCCAATCAATGACGGTCCATATTTCTAAAATAATGTGTACTTCCAAGCGACGGACTCAGGTTTTAACTAAATTAATTTTGTAATTCTTACACGTAAATCATAACATAATAAGAAACAATAATTTGTAATATTTGGTGGTATAAATTGTATAGGACGTAGGAAAATAAAATTACACCATAGAATAATGGTCAGTATAGAACATTTTTAGTAATCAAAATAATTATTCACGACCAAATAATGATAATAAATAATAATCATCAAGGTGAATTGGCATCAATTCACCTTATAACAAATCATAAAAATATAAAATAGCAAATCATAAATAAAAACAACATTACCTTAAATAACCTTATCGGTAGTTACTACCTATATAGTTACTACTAAACTACTTTGATTTTTCTAAAATAAGAATTTTAAATTTGAATTTATTACTTTATACTATTATAATGATCCTCCAGAGGTTATGAAATTCAATAGTTTTAGTTAAAATAATATTATATCCCCAAATACCTACTTATTTTTATATTTTTGATTTAATAGCTTAAAGCAAAATATGAAACTGACTACTGAGATAGTGTAAAACAAAATTATAAAGTTCTAGGTATAATAAAATAAATTCCAATTAGGTATTTCGATTAGAAGTTAGAACTATAATAATAAAAATAATCGCAGTTAGTTAGTACTACTATAATATTAGGTATCTAAAGTAGTGAACTAGAATTTAATGATGATCATCAACATTTTGAGAAAAATAAACACTACTTACCAGAATCAATAATTTTCAAAATTTTTTTATTTTTTATTTTTTTAAATATTTTTACAAATTGAATATTTTTTTGGTAAAACTGAGTGCTTAAAAAAATTCCCTGTAAAAATAATAATGAAACATATTTTTTATTTTTTATATTCTGTACTTTTTCGATCCGTGTAATCATTCAAAAACTTACGGCGCAACTATAATAGGCTACATGGAGACGGGTGTATAATACCTTAGAAATAACTTGAACGTAATTTACATGAGTTGTAAGGTCATAGTGATGATTCAACTTTAAAATTTAAGTAACTTAAACGGGGCTTGAAACCCGATTTTCATACCTGTCTTAGTTAAGAATAACATTTAAATTATTTTTTTTTTTCAAAAAAAAGTAGCATACTGGTTCCATAAACTTTCGAGCTTAGTTAGGACATATTCTCAAAAATCCTTCCACCACAAAATTCAATAACACGTAAGATATGTATGGAAATGGCCAGCAACAGCTATTCGTGTTGCCCTCACTTATGAAAATTAACATTTTCGAAATCTTTTTTTAACCGACAATAAATATGTGATCAGACTTTTTGTCCCCGAAATTTTTGACCTATTACCGAGATTTACACTTATGTTATATTAATATATTATTATAATAAAAATATATCATATTAGTACAATAGTACTCCACCTATGGACTCGTGCCAAGTATTCTTATGACGTTCTTTCACCACCGATTCTAAAAATTGAGACGTGCAAATATTAATTAAACCGATATAATATCAAATTGTCAATATGGAAACCACACTTTTTATCGTTCCTGTTCAGAAATAATAACACAGACACGTCAGTATGATGTTTATAACTACGTAATAAAAAAAATTGCAATAGGTATTTGAAATATTAGGTAGGTACCTACTGTTAATTGTGTATTTGTGTTAGAAATTCATGAAAATGTTTCTTTATACATTTAAGATTTTAAAATGTAATACAAAATTTCAGATTCCTCATAAGTTTGTCTACCTTTAACATCCTAATAATTTTATTTTTTTATTTTTAATTTAAACTTATTTTTATATTGCCTATTTGGCTAGTACATAAAAAATAAACACATTATGTGTAATATATTAATACCATCATAACTGCTGGCTACAAATAATATTATTATTATTACAGGAAGCTGGTGATTAGTACCTATATTGTTTATTGGTTGACAACGATTGTTATTATACCCCCTGTATAAATGTTTAATCAAATAGAATTAGTTTATTTATATTGTAATATTTCGACAGCGAATGTTGTTTTAATAAGTCTTTAACTTTTTTGAAGTATGGTATTTATATAGTGTTTAAAGTAAAGTAAAGTAAAGTAATGTTTTCAATTAGGTAGTTGAATTGTTTTTCTTCGATTTAAAATAGGTGTCAACAGTCTAACACAGTACTTAGCACACTAAGCTTCACACGTGAAGTGATATTTCGTCAACCAATTAAGATGTGGCTGCAGGTCGTATTTATGCTAATGTTATAGGTTAGTTTCTGTTTTACCTGCGTTAATATTAATTATAAACAAGTATTTAAAATAAGGTAATTATATATATTTAGGTAGGTACTAATGCAGACTCTAAAAATTTAAAAATATTTTAGACATTATAATATCAGGTCTATATAAAATGTAAGTACCTACTTTAAGTAATTGGTTAAGATTTTAACTCATTAGGTTACCTAATTATTTTTGAATTACAACAAAAACATGAATATAAATTTAATTCAAAACTGGTGTTGTGTAAATATCTTCGTTTTACCCCTGTTTTTTTTTTTTGCCTAGTTGTTACCTATTATTTGCAATAGTTAAATAGGTATAAGTTATATTAATAAATATTTTAACCTTGTTTTGAACTTTTAGTTCTTGGCTATAAAAATTGGACATTATATACATTTTTAAATACAAAATAATTTGATAATGTTTGTGTGATTATGATGGATTTTGTCAAAATTTGAATTTAAAATGCTTATAAAAAAATGTTTGCCTTTAATCTTTATAGGTATGTTCATTAATTTTGAACTTCTGATACGGGTAAATTTTCAAGATTTTGGTTCAGCAAAAAAATTATTTAACTTCCATTATTGAAAAAAAATCGAAAAGGTTTTAGTGTTGTAATTTATCATTTTATTGTTAATTGGTTTTACTGACGTTTGAAATTTTGATGGCCGCCAACAATTTCCAGCTTCCTGATGTGGATCTTTGAAAATATTAATTGGTGACCTTTATATATTACCTATATTAAATTATGTACTTAAAACTTAAATAGCTTCTGGTACAATTGCACAGTTTTTTGATTTAATACCAAAATACTATAAGTTCAAAAAAATAGATATATTTTACAATATTACAATATTAGCATACCTTCAATGATTTATTTTTCTTAATAATATTATCAGCTACCGGCAGTATAGGTTTTTGATTTGTTGAACTTTTTCAGTATCCTTTTTTGATACATTTTATATTTTAGATTCTGAGCGGAGCGAGGAAGCTAGTGGTTTTACAATGGTGTTTATTTTTTTTTTTTCATATCCTGTATACAAAATGTCTACTAGAAGGAGTTCTTCGATTTCAACATATAGTATTTTTTCTTTTAGCAAATTAGATCAAGATGATACTTTAGAGAGGTCATTTTTCGATTTTATCAATAGTTATTTATTACCACTAATACCGGGTAAACAAAATTATGTAAATGGTCAATAAAATGCGTTGTTCTATGTGTGGTGCTCATCGCTCATGAGTTCTAAATGTTTTTTTACTAATTTATAATAATTTATTGAAAAATACAAAAAAAAAACCTTAAACTTATAAATGTACAGAAAATTATTATTCGATCATACAAAATCCAGCCATAATTAGCATAGATAATAATCTCCTCTATCTATGAACATTTTGTCATTTTATTAAAGTTACTACAACTACAATATTTAATATTCATTCACATAAACCATGTTTTTACACTACAAATTACAGGTAGGTATTGTCCTCTTAATTAAGCACAATAAATAGAAATTTTAAATAAATAATTTTATTACTTTTTATGTTATGTTTAAATAACTAAGTTTAATGTATTAACCAGTTGAAAGAGTATAGTTAACGTATAGGTCATACGTACAGTATAGTACAGACATAAAAAATTGAATGTACAAAATAATATTCACAATTAAAAAAAATAACTGATAGGTGTTTATCTATTAAATGTATATGTACAGGTGGATATTCAATAGAGATATCCAAAATTATGTATACATAACATACAATTATATATTAATGTTTGATTATTTGTTAACAAATGGATAAGGATCGACTATGTTTATATTATGCTGAAAATTACAATACACATACTATATACACCATGTATACTAATTTTATTCCATACAGAATAACAATTTGGTAAAAGAAAAAATAATACAATTCAAATATTAAAATAATAATATAATTTGAGTACTCTACAATTTTTAAACTTACATAATGTAAAAACATTGTTACAGTTGTGATTAAACAGATGGTGATTATTAGGTTGATGATCAATCAATCTTGACAGTAGTGTAAATTTTGCGCACAAAAGCATGAGCACCAATGTAACCCACAGTACCACACATGATTCCTAAAGCAATGCTGAATAATGCCATGTAACCAAAATAGAATGCAGTTTGAAAAAGTCCATACATTCTGAAATATTAAATACAAGTGTTATGAGGGTTTTACAACACACATTATATTTAAATTAATATTAAGATAAAACCACACTAAGGAAATTAGTTGTCTTAATTCTCCATACCGCAGCAGGTATTAAAAACCACTTTTTGTATATCACTGATTATGATAATATGGTACAAATCACAGACTAACAAATACTAATCTTAGTTTATGGTTGAAATAAATATACCATAACTTATTTTAAACATTACTATGAACAACACCATATAATACTGGAAACTTTATTTTTATATTTTGATTTTAAGAAAGTTAATTATTTTAATTTATATTTTAAAGATCTGGAATTATTTCGAAAGTGTCATCTATAGGTGGCTTCTTCAATCAAATTATTCATGTTAAGTTTTATTTTTTATATAGCTCATACTATTATAGTGCCTGCTAGTACAAATAGTGTATATATAATACCAAATAAAAAATTTAAAAGTAACAATACAAAAATTAACCACAAACCCCTAAAGTTTTGATATAATTAGTTCAAAGTTAACTGAAGTAGATAATAATACAACTAAGAACACATTTTAAACATATCAAATATAATTTTAAAAATGAGTTTTGTAGTGTAGTGAGATATTTTATGTCTTAAGCCCACTGAAATTGATGTTCTTTTTAATAGCAATAAATCGTATTTTTGTTAAAAAAATTAATCTATACATCATATAAAAAGTGAACCTTCAGATTATAACTTTTTTCTATGTTGGATTATAGTATAATTTAAAACATTGTGGCTTATCTTGAATATGTATTGTAAGGTTAGTAATAATGTGCTTATAAATACGCAATAACTTACTTTGTTTTAAACATAAAGTAATAAAATGAATACAGATAAACGTAAAATGCAGTTGATGCTGCTGCTGCAAAACTTGTCCATTGCCTGCAATGAGAATAAGCAATTTGTAACTGTGATCAAAATAATAATTGGTAATACAAACTTACCATCTATAATCTTCAGCATTAAGTAGGAAATAAGTACATACAATTGTGACACAAACGGTTACCACCATAAGTATCAAAACAACTAGCAGCATAAATCCATAAACATAATATATTTTGTATGCCCAAAATGAAGTAAATATAAAATACCTAAAATTAAATATTCCAAAATGTAGTTTAATATCACATTAATAAATATGAATACTATTATTATTTATTTTAACATACATTTCAATAAATATTGATCCAAAGGGCAGTATTCCACCAAGCATTGTGATTATTAAAGGTTCCATAAACCATTTTTTCTCTGGTATAGGTCTTGGTACAGCATTTACTCTGCAAGGGTAATCTGGTTGCCCAGACAAATTTCGACCCAGCAAAGTTCCAACCAATGTAAGAGGTAATATCACAAAAACGCATATACAGGCTACTGCGACCTAAAAATCATTGTTATTAGTAAAATAATTCAAAATATGTAATAATCATTACTTACCATTGAACCAAATGGAATGGCACGGGATGCATGATAATAGATTGCAATAAAATTAATAAGGAATGCCATGCCACAAACAAGTGAAGGTAATAAAAATGCAGATAACAACATCTGTCTGATCCAAATACGTCCACCCATCTTAGCATATAAGGCTCCACCAAAGTAACCATTAACAGGAGAAGTTACAGCATACACAAATATTGATGTACCCAATAATGATCCTCGTCTAATCAACAATTTCAATAATTTAAAAATTAAAAATTAAATTTATAAGAGAATGTTATGTTTTTACTCTGTATATAAATCTCCAATTATTGTAAATGTTATAACTACGAGAGTGACTAGAGTGATGTGGTGACCACATCCAATAATGGCAGAGAAAAGCATAGGATAAGATGCTGGACGGAAAACATCGCCATGAACTTGCTTCCATCCATATTCGTCACCCAAATCCTTGTCCTATTATTTCAAATGTTAAAATATGTAAGTTAAATTAAAAATATATTATTAAATACCATAGCATCAACTTCTTCGTCTTGACTGTAACGAGCATAATCTTTTCGCACAGTTCGCAATAAAATCATAGATACTAATCCAACTAAAAATATAACCATCATAAAACTGTTGAAAATGCTAAACCAATGTATCTGAAATAAAGAATGCATCAAATTAATTAATAGATTATATTTACAACAAATAATTTGTACATAATTGTTATTATTATTGACTTACTCTGTGTTGGAAGAATTTAGGATCTAAATATTTATTGAAGCGATCTTTATAAATAATAGGAGATTCTTTCCAATTCATTTCATAAGTAAATTCAATATTAGTATTTACTTTGAGTTCAACTTTGGTCTCTGATGTCAAATTTACATCAACAATATGATGATCATTAAAGCCAATATCAAATTTTTTGTGTGTCCATATATAATATTTGTTATTAGTTTCATCTAATTCTCCAACAATCCCTAAGTTCCAAATACATAAATTTAATAAAATCAAAATAACAGTTAAAGTTTATATAGGTACTCCGTTCCACAAGAGAAGGAACTCGTTTCATGATTTAACTGAAGGCGTTTAATGACCTGGGTCACTATTTCTCTTAATCAAACATAGTTAGTAATTGTAGTGCTATACAAAACTGCTGCCCAGAATTTTTAGGTGAAAGAAATAGTTTTCCAGGTCGTAAAATGCCTTCAGTTACATTGCGGAATGAGTTCCTTCTCTCGTAGAACAGAGTATATAAATATAATTTACCCCAAATCGGAAGATCGTCAATATACATTTGATACCAGTAGTGATTTCGTACGGCATATATAAATGCTTTTAATTTGTTATCATCCAAGTTTACTTGACAGAATGGTACTTTAGATATGTCCTCTAATAAATGACAAAATTGAATAAATTATTTGGGAACTATTAGATTTAATAACTATTAGTACCTTTAAAATGCATTTCCAGTCCACTGTGTATAAGCTCAACGCCCTGTAAAGCTTCACCAAGTGTTTCATGATAATGACTAATTGAATCTTTAGGGCCCGCACAAAATGGCAAACTAAAGTAAGTATATGTTTCTTGTCGATTATGATATGGACCGACAGTGTTCATCCACAATACCACCTCCTCATTGCTTTTATACTGAAATATAATATTATAAAGTTAACTACCTAAATTAAACTCATACATTTTTAACATAGGTAATAATTATTAATTGACCTATTTTAAAGATAAGTTAATTCTATTTTAGATTTTGTAGTTCCAGATAATCAAGTATTATTCCAGAATATGTAAATAAACATTATCAATTAATTCAAACATCTCATTACACACTCATAAAAATTGACTCACAGCCAGCCACATCACCAAATCACTAGGTGTATCCATCCACCACATCAATACAATACACACAATGTACAACAAAATTAACCAAACACTGAATTATAGAAGTAACGAGAGACTATCATAAATAATGCAATTATTCGTACCAAATGGTTGTGTTCGTCGCCATTAACGAGACACGTCAAGTGTATGACCAAAAACGAGACGAAAACTTTGAGATAATCCATCGCAAACCGTTTGGTGTTCATCTCAGTGGATCATCTTTGTTACACCTTAGATGAATGAGTTCATAATGTTGTACTTAGATTATATTAAAAAAAACTAATAGGCCAATAAAACAAAAAAAATTACTGCCTTTTAAGTATTCGGTACGTAAAAATTTTCGCCACGGACTATCGTAGTCCGTGATTTTTGTTAACGTTCAGATTATTTAATATTTTAATATTTAATATTTTTTATCTCGTTCCCCGACCGACTAAATGTTATTGATGATACGTCGTCTTCGTTGAACATGATGATAGCAATATGTACTGTGATTCGTCTTTCAATAATACAACTCTGGAAACAAAAAATAACCCAAATCAGCCAATGGAGTCATTGTTGTAGGACGTTACCGCGGTTGCGGTTAGTTCTGAATGTCGACGCGCGCACAGATATATACATATATAGTAATAATATAGTATAGTGATATTATATTTATTCTGTGGAAGTGTGGACGCTCAAATGCTCAATGCTCATTACTTCGCGGATACTAATATAATGCTAAATGCTAATAATTATTATAATTAGGTAGTAGGTTACTTGTCTATTTAGTATTTACTAATAATTAATATTATTGTAATAAAGTACCTATAGCCTATAGGGCATAAGCGATAGGGTACCAATATTATTAGTAAATAGTAATTAATAATTTATTATTGTAACCTACTTGCTAGAACGCTAGACGACTGCCGCGGGCATTGACTAATTTACTTTAAATGTATATACATACAATATAAGTAAATAATTATTTATGTAGGTATACAATTAGAGCACATTTTCCTAATAATTCTTATTCAAAACTTCTCAATACCTAATGCCTATTGGAATTTAGAATAATAAATTATAATATATATTATGTTTCACATTTTAAACAATTTACTGTGCAACTACATTATTAATACCATAGTAATACTATAGTAATATACTATGGATACTATAGTATAGGTATGCCATATTATTTGGATTATTGAACTTATTTAATGAACGCCTATATTATAATATAGGTAGTATAGATTATAATAGTATAGTAGTATACTTATGCTGCTTTTAAAATAAATCATCAATAATTTGCAAAATAATTTTGATTTAATTATAATCAAAATCACACGAAACGAATTAATTTGTGACATATAAATGTATGTGTAAAAATTGTGTTTCTATCGCAAATACAAAACTGTATAATATTACTGCAAGTAGGTACCAATGTACCTACCAATGTAGGTACCAAAGTATAAAACCTTCGCTAGCCTAACCTAACCTTCTGAAAGGAAAATTGAGGAATCATAGAATATATGTTTTTGTGTATAGACTATAGACGTAAAGTGCAGTGGAGAAATATCTAGTAAAAATCTAAGTTGCTACATTTTGTTAGGAACTAAATTAAATTGTTTGATTTTTATTGTTGACTAGCTGATCCCGTGCACTTCGTTACCCGTTAAATGTACCAACTCTATATGACTCAAACTTTGTTCAATTCGTTATTTAATATTCGGTTTATGGTGTTCAAAATTCATCTTATTAACTTTTTCGTTGCCCGGTATAAATATTCAGATTCGCAGCAGTATATTTACAGGTAGGCCGTAGGCAATCTATACAGGGTGTCCCGTGAGGATTTACTCATTAGCCGTAGAGGGGGACTCGCCGCCCGGACAAAAACCAGTTTATTGACGTTTTACTAATAAACTAAAAAAATTATTAAAAATCATGAGATTAATGAAAATAAAATGTAAAAAGCTCAAAATGTTTACAAAAATATACTCTATAGAATGGCTATCTTCAATTTTTTCAAAAGTAAAAAAATAAAAAAATAATTTTTTTAACTTTTTTACTAAAAAATTTAATTTAATTAAAAAATAAAATATTTGTAGTGCTTACCTCTGCGAGTCTTAATAAAAAAACATAATTACGATATCTCCATTATTTCAGGAGATATCGCAATGAGTAAATCCTCACGGGACACCCTGTATACCTGCGATAGATCGCGGACCCCGTGTTTGTACGTAACTTTATAATTTAATTCTAAAGTATTGAAGTTATCAGTGGCGTACACAGCTATTTTCAATGGAGGGGGGGGCTTACATATAAAAAATTTTATACATATATAATATATATTATACACTGATAAATCAAAACGATGTACCTATAGTAATTATTTTGTACATAATGAGTAATCAGCTCATTAGCAATGACTTAAGGTGAAATTAAAAATATTTTTACAATACTCGATTATTATTTAAAAAATATATACCTACCTATTATCTACAGGTAATTATTTAGTATAACTACAAAGCTACACGCGTACATACAATATGTATATAATAATATATTATATACAATTCAATAAAAGATAGGTATACAAAGAAATTTATTTTTATCATATTAATAATTTTTTTGTACCTAGGTCCTAGGTTGATAATATAATGCAGGGGTCTCCAAACTTTTTTATTCAAGGGCCACAAAAAAAATCAAATGCTCTTAGCGGGCCAAAAGTTTATTAACACTTATAATTTTTAATTTTATGATAATATAAGTACCTACCTATATAAATAATATGTTTACTTTATATTTTTGTATAAAATATTGTTTACTTTACAATATACTTAAATAAAAATAAATAGGTATAAATATAATATAATATAAATACATTTTTGAAATAATTTTTTTATCTATATTTACATATGTGGGCCACGGGCCGGTTAAAACTTGTTGGCGGGCCGTAGTTTGGAGACCCCTGATATAATGTATTAAATATTTACCTGGTTCCTCCGAGTTAATTGTATCACAAATTAGTGAGTTAGAAAAATATTCGTTTATTCTTTTCATTTTTATTGTTTTATAAAATATTTAAACAGTAAGTACAATTTACTAAACGTCCAAAGAGTCAGGAATTTTATTGAAAACTGAGAAAAAGATTCTATATCTATACTGTAGTATTAGCGATACTGAGATAGCTATTAAGGCATATTATATCGGATTACACGATTGTCGACCCTCATGTTTGTGTTTGAACAAATTTCCCAATAATTTCATTAATTTGTAACAAGTTATCAATAATATCTACAATATATTAAAACAACAAACTGGGTTGCTTATAAGTTATAATATAATGGATTATAATTTGGAATATAATATTTTTTTAAATTGTCATCATTTTTATTATACATTTTTACGTTATTACGTAAACTGAAAAAATACTAAAGGGGGGGGTTTGAACACCCAAACCCCCCCCCCGTGTGTACGCCACTGGAAGTTATACCAATTATGTCACTGAACTCTTCCTAAACGGCTGGACTAATTGTGAATACCGAGTCTATCGAGTATCGACCAATATTTCTTCCTCACCCACGAAGACGTGGCATTGTTTAAAGTACGTAACTTATTTGTGAGTATAATACGCTCAATATTTACGTAATTGCGATACATATAATATCAAAACACAAAAAAATTAAATGCATTGAATGAATACACGGCAACCAATAGTTATTATTATAATAGCTTTAAAACCCTATGGCGACCATTTATAAACAATAAAATTTCCACCGTAATTCTCTAAATCCCCGTTTGAGCACATCCCCTGGCTGGACTTTTTAGACCTTTTAGATCTTCTCCTGACAATTACGAACATCTTAAAAAAAATTTGAGCCAAACCGGTCCGGCCGTTCTCGAGTTTTAGCGAGACTAACGAACTGCAATTCATTTTTTTATATAAAAAAAAGATTAGCGTTTCCATGGGCTATGGCAATAAATAAAGCGTTACGAAAATTTGCCTCGCCAAAATCGGTTAGGAAAAGAAAGTTCAACCCGGTCCAAAAACAAAATATGGTAAAAATTGAAGTATTTAGTATTTACTATAAAATCTGAACCTTAGTCACATAACAATGAAATATCCGAGGAAATATCTCCTAAAAAAGAAAAACATTGAATTTAATTTTAATACAAGCACCTATGTCCTATTTAATATTTATAAATGAAACACGTCGAGTGCTAATATAGTTAACAATATTTCACATAAATATTTAATTCCTATATTTGTCGTTTTCGACTATTGTGAGCGAAATGTCTTTTTCCCTAGAAATAACTTATCGTTGACGACAATACAATGATATAAAATTATATTACTATTGATTTTATTATTCTCAGTATTATCATGAAGTATGAACTAGGATACTCTCTTAGTTCATGGTATTATTAAATCCATACTTAAGGAATTTAAGGTAGGTATCGTTTATTTTGAATCGGTTAAAATTGTTATTCTTGGGAAAAAAGACTATAATATATTAATATACATAATTATCGATGATAAATGATAATATTATATAACGATTGACGATCGACGTAGCAGTTTTGTCACTGAATAGATGAATAATGATGAAGTTCATCTATTCTATCTATGGTTTTGTGAACCGTGGTTCGTGAACCGACAGTCGACAATCTGTCAATGTAGCCATGTAGGTACTAGATTTTATATATGACTATATGAGTGTCTAAGTTAAAATGTTAGAAATTCATACAAAATTTCTATTTATATCTGTCCTATATTTATAAAATGTTTATCAAATTAATTTTTTATGAACGTTTGATGTTAGACATTGGATATTCACAAATTATTTCTTGTCAGGTGGCACTGCTGGGAGCCTTGTTATTTATGTCTAATATTCTTAATTCTTATGTCACCACACTTACTCATTATACCTTGTTTGTTGAATAGATTGTAAATATACTTTTTAAGAAAAAAAAAATTTACAAATTCTCATACAACGATTTTCTTATTTTGTTGTTATTAGTAGCATAGAACAGTGTTAGTAGGTACTAGCGTCTAGCCCTAGTTAGTAGTTAGTTGTTTATTTAGTCATGACCCATGATAATAGCTTTGAATAGAATTGTTCTGTGATAATAGTGTAAAGCCCCGTTCACACGATCAAATAATTTGTCAAATATTAGTTTGACATAGGTACATCAAATATTTGACAAATTATTTGATCGTGTG